GATAGATGTATATACATTGATGAAAGTGAATACATGGAGTGGATCGCAACAGTAACAGTCTTCTGATGTCAACTTAAGATAAGTGATTCATACATACATTTTAATATGTACAGTACATGCACCTGTTCCAGCCTGTAATTATTCTCTCATGTGACACAATTGCCTGTAATTAAATCACAAGCAACATGATTCATAAAAATGCAATAACAAGTTCATTCTTTTTTCCTCTAGTATTTAGCAAATGTTCATAGTTAGTATGCATGTACATGTTACCCTTTTGTTCAATTCCCCTCTTTCTTTTTCTAAAGATGTTTAACATTATTACATAATGATTTTATTTATTATAGGCAATAGGTAAAGATCAGGAAAGAGTGAGTCATGCTTGGAGAAAAGGTTAGATTCCTAGCTGCCTCATCATGGCACTAGAGGTTCAACCACACTATTAACATGAGGAAAGGTTAGATTCCAAGCTGCCATTGTTATGGCACTAGCTAGAGGTTCAACCAGGTTGGATTCCTAGCTGCCACTTTATCTTGGCACAAGATGTTCAACCATACTATGAGGAAAGGTTAGATTCCTAGATGCCATTATCATGGCACTAGAGGTTCAACCAGGTTAGATTCCTAGCTGCCACTTTGTTTTGGCACTAGAGGTTCAACCATGCAGAGTTAATTCCATTGAATCTCTACTACAGAAAAAGAAAAGTTAGTAAGCACTAAGCAGTATTATTTATTTAACAAAAGTAATCATGTTATTTATGACTATCCCTTACATTATCTTTCACATCTCTCTTTTTATTGCATGTGTAATTTGTATGAAATAAACATGAATAATGACTCCTTTATATATATATTATATTTTATGCAGCTTGCGCATCAATGACCGACCAGGCTGACTTCAATATGGCAACAATCAACCTATAAATAAGGTGATATTTATAATAGTGATTATAGTATTATGCCATTCCTTTTCATCCTTAGGTTGTTGAGTGGGTGGTTGCGGTGGGGGGCCAGCTACCGCAGCATAGCCTATTCGCGACAGTGCTGGCTATCATCCCAGCTCAAATTAATTGGTAATGCAAGAATGCTGCTTTCACTACTAATCACTTTTATTCATTGAATTTCATTAATTTCTACTTCATTTTTATTCAATTAAATAAAAATTTTTAAATTGAAATTTTTGATGAAATCATGTCATATATCATAGACAATAATACACGTCAACAGTTTCATTCCTTTTTTCCTTTGTTTATCTCTTCCTTTACTCTTGCTCTTTCCTCCTCTTCTAACCTCACCCTTCTTTTAATGTCCACTTCTTCCTCTATCAACTTCTGTTTTTTCTTTTCTTTTCTTTCCCTCTTTCTCTCACGAACTTCAAAGTAATTTAGTCTCCTTCTAAGATATTGAACTTCATCTTCAAGACATTCAATCTTTTTCAGAGAATCTTCATATTTGTTTTTGTATAGTCCCAATTCTTCCTCTTTCTCTTTAATATCCTTTTTCAGTTGTTTACAAGCTTTTCTTAAATATTTAGCATCTTTAACGTAGCTAGGTTCATCAGAACTACAATCAGACTTATCACCCTCAGCCATCAACCAGAAACTGAAGAGGTTTTCAACTGGGAGTTACAAAGAAAGTCTGTTGAGTGATGAAAAAGAGGAGAACTGAAATAAGAGCCAAACAAACGAGATAAGTAGATAGATAAACGCGAGAGACGGTGATCCCATATGATTAAAGAAGTGAGAATAAAGTGAGACATTAGGTACACATGAAACCTCATGCCTAACTGCGCATGCTCAACAGAAGCCTTCCTTCATGTGATCTCAGTACTTCTCACTTCTTTAGTCACTCCAGATAGTGCCAGTCTCACTTCTTTATCCTATGGGATCTTCTCTCGCGTCTATCTATCTACTTATCACCTTTGTTTGGCTCTTTTTTCAGTTTTCCTTACTGTCATATATGGCAGAAACCCAGTACGAACAGGGGGATAAAGCAACTAGCTCTATGAAAGTCACAGTTTCATCAAGTCAAGCAACAAGAGCCTCTACTGATCTAGCGAAACCAATTTCATCCATCACTGATACTGCTGAAAGTACTATTATTCATGGTGT